AGTCACGGGCGACAGTTTGTATAGTAATAAAAAAAGTATTCAATTTGTCTGTATTTTTTTTTATATTAATACGTAAACTAAATATATATTTAGTAACAAAAAGATCAAACCAACAACTAAATTTAATTATATAATAATGTTCATAATTAAAATAGACTGAAACAGACAGTGCTAGGTAAAAAATCTCACCCATATATAGTATGTTCACTGGTTACACAGGATGTATATTTAAACGGTATGGGCTGGTAACCGTACGAGCCTGCGTACGGCATGTAGCCGGGACCCATCATACTGTGGAACAGACAAACATTACTGTAGCATTGTGTTATATTTGGCTCCTTCACATGACACGTGCTACCGGTCCAAAGGTCCAAAGGTCAGTCTAACCCAACTCTCTCCAGCATACACTTATGATGTGTCAAGACAAACAACATTACGTAAATGAAAACTTGATAAAAATATCGATGTCTAGGATTTTTCGTTATACAAGTTCGACACATAAAAAATATCTTTAAATAAAAAAAAAATTTTCATGGAAAAAAAAAAATTTCAACTACAAATTGCTACATTGTAGATAATAAATAATAGATTTTTGCAGATAAAACTAAGATTTTTATCGAATAATAAAAAAATCGACAGAGTAAAGATTTTTTTAGATAATTCTATTTTAGCTGATTTTTACTTTTCAATGCAACTTTTTTCTATAAAATCTCTATAATTACAAGAGTATTTTTTTTGTTAAATTTTAAAACAATTCTTGATGTAAAAACATTGCTATATTAAGAAAAGTATTTAATTCTTTTGAAATTGAAACAATTCTTTAGTAATTTCGTACCTTATATATCTTTTATGTTTTTTTTTATTAGTATTTGTGTTTATTTCTTTTCTACTCACTTTGGATTAGGCAGAGGCGCTAATGTATCTCCGGCCACACTATCATTGTCTCTGAGTCTGAGAGCCGCCATGTCAGCGCACAGTTCACCCGCAACATAGTAGCATTGCTCAGAGAATGTTATCTTGTTTACTGTATGACGGATGAAACCAGCCTGGAAATTTTACGAGAAGAATAATTCACCAAAAAAAAAAAATTTTTTTTTTGTAAAATGCAAAAAAAAAATTTTTTTTGTGTAATATGAAAAACTTTCTTCACCCTATAAATGCAGACCATCCTACTTAGTGAAAATCTTACTAATATTATAAATGCGAACGTTTGGATGAATATTTGAATGTATCTCCGGAACGGCTGAACGGATCTCAATGAAATTTGTCATAGATGTAGAACATAGTTTGGACGAACACATAGGCTATTAATTAAGTTTTCCTCAATCCTGCGCAGACAGTTGGACAACATCTAGTAATTGTCGAACCACCAAAAAACTTACAACTTACTAGAAGATTGATTTAACGAAATAAACAAAGTCGTAGGCCACGGCTAGTTTATATCTCTACCTATAATACTGAAAACAGTCATATCTGTAAAGACCTAATGCAAGTTTGAACGGACGGAAGTTAGTTACGTCGGACATACCTTAAGCATATGAGAGGCATATTTCCTTGCATCTCTGCGGTCAGCTATACCAGCCACATGCTGCAGGATCCAGTCCACCACGTCAGCGCCAATAAACGCGTTCGGAATGGTTATCTTCAACCACATACGATCTCTGATCTCCAGACCTATGGAGTACAAAATTTCATAACTTTATTGCCCAACTGCCTTGGAGAATAGCTTACTATTTACTAATATTATAAATGCAAATGTTTGATGTATGGATGTTTGTTTGAAGGTATCTCTGGAACGGATCAACAGATCTTGATGAAATTTGGCATACATATAGAACATAATCTGGAAGAACACATAGATTACTAAAAATGTTTTTTTTTTTAATTCCGGACGGACGGAGTCGCGGATGACAGCTTATTCTTAATATTAATTATGTTAAAAAAAACTTAATAATCTTACCACTATCAGGGCGCAACATGGCTCTGACTACAAGTGCCATGTCCATACTGACAGACAATGGAGGCTCCGGTGGCATTGATCCGGCGTCTGAACCTGGGGCGCCACCGGGCGGCGGCGGGTAGGCCTCCCGTAGGGCTGCTGTGTGAGCCACCCATGCACCTGAAAAATTTGATTTTTGATTTTAGTACATGGCACCTGTACTTATGAAAATATCAAAATGGCCACAGACAGTATATAGGGCCACGTCTTTCCTACTCTTTTTATCAATGGGAAGTGAAAGGATACAAGGATGGTTTCCAGTACACTTCCTCTTCCCTTCGGTCTTCCTTGCTTCTTGAATTCGCTCCTCCTGGCTTCCCTACTTGTCAGACAAAACACTGACATAATTCACAGTAAAGTCGTCTTGTATATGATCTTGTTGAACCGGGTGTGTGGATCATTCACGCAGCATAAATGCTGCTACAGTCTACCATTGTTAAAAATAAATTATCTGGTAAGTTTCCTCTGACACCCTGTTCCGTACTACGGCACCACCGGCGGGGAAGCAGCGCGGGGGTCCCTTCCAGACCTCACCCGCCGCCCCGCGCGCCCTCACACCGCGACCTTCAGTTGCGCTTCAGCACTCCGCGCGCCGACACATCAATCATATTTGTCTGTTTTGTACATCTTTCATTCTTATTACAATCATCAGCAACCAACCAGCCTTTCATTACAACATACAGTCCACTCGCTCCACACACCCATACTTACCAGGATCTATAGGTCTGACAGGTTCAGTTCTTGGTATAGTAAAGTATCCCTTAGGGTTGGGGTCCCAACACTTTGCCACAACCAGCTTGATAGGCCCTGGCTTCTGCACCACCTCACGGAGAACCCTCACTGCCTCATCATTTGTCATATCTTCAAAGTTTACATCATTTACCTGGAAATATGTTAAAACAAAAAGTTTAGTCATGAAAAATTACCAACACAAACTTTTTTTACATGAAATTAATAAAAATTCTTTAAATAAATTATGGGTCATTCCAAAATCTCTATTCCAAATACCATCAAGAACTATTATGGAGTTATGTGGAATTAACTATATATTAGTAAGATTTTGTAAGCAAATAGGTGTAAATTAAGTAGAAATAAATCTTAAAAAATTACAAGCAAGGGGAGAGCGCAAAATATTATTTAACATACAATATTATGTACTTGAAAATACATTAAAATACTTTGATATATGTTTACATTGATTGAACTGAACAAAAAAAAATTTAACTTTATCTCAAATTATTCTCTGTTTAAAATATTACAATAAAACATATTCGTGTTATCAATTTTTACATATTCAAAAAACAAAATAAAAATTACACTTTAATTAAAAGATCACAAAATTGTCAAAAGATAATAAATAACAACAGTAAAAGTGTTTATCACTACTATGCAAGTATAATTAATTTCTATGAACTATATCTCTTGTTTACGTAACATATCTAATAAAATATTTGACACATCCTATCAGTAATAATATATACCACTTATATATCTACATACCTGTAGTATCATATCTCCTGGCTCTATCCTTCCATCCAGAGCGACAGCACCACCTTTCATAATACTACCAACGTAGATCCCACCATCACCACCCTTGTTCGACTGCCCCACAATTGAAATGCCAAGGAAATTCACTGTATCCATGTTCAATGTCACCGTTATTATATGCATAGACATAGTAGAATCTGTTATAGAAGAGTAGGAAGAAGTTCTTGACATAACTTGAGGTCTTTTCCGTCTTCGTTGGGGACGTTTACGAGAACTGACCTGTAGATGAGATACACTACTGCATTCTGTAAGCGCCCGGTCCACAGATGCGTTAGTATGTCTTCCAGTAGTCGTTGTAATTTCCGACTGACTGTCGAAGAGACTAGTCGAGTCCAAATCGGAACTAAGAACAGACGCTGTTTCGTATTCAAGACCATGATTTCCATACTTGGAATGTCCATTAATTCTTAAGCCTCTGTATTTGTATTTATCACACGATGCCCGATGTCCGGGACGTGAACTAATAGTACTGTCTGTGTCCGTACATGTATCTCTGGTTAAGGGAACAGTTGGAGCACCGTGGGGATTAGGTTTTCCCTTCCCAGCATTACTATCCGTACATTGTGAAGCACCGTCTGAAGGGTTCGATCCCTCTGCAGACACCAGCCATGACACCACACGACCGTTAAAGCACGGAAGATGAGCACTATCATCGATAATTTCCTCTTTCACTACACCAAAATCATCGTCCATCGATTTGAAAAAGAACTTATAGTTAGGCCTGTTCAATTGATTTTTAAAGTCTAGTAAAGTCACTTTCTCCGGAGATATCGGTATTTTAACTAAATAAGGAGTCTCCTCGTCGTCTATGTAGTAAATAACTTTCGTCTCCTCCATTTTAAAACATTTATTATGGAAAACTAACAACACCCTTAGGATCTATAAATATCGGCCGCCATCACAAAAATGGCGATAAACAAGATGCCCTTATCTGTCAATACGCGGCGCTGCTATCGAGAGATTTATGTCCTCGAATAAATCTAGAAGTTTTGGTAGACTAAGAAAACAATTTTAGATACCTATTCTGTTATTTAGTTTTGCATATCATAGCATTTTTCAATACATTATATATTCAATATTCAAAGAATAGCTTATTATTTTTTTTAACCTTTATTTAAAATTACACATTTTTTGTAATTAAGAAATATTGAATCTGTATTCCCTTTGATTTTAATTTTTTTTTATCTGTCCCTGAAGGTTTTTCCAGTTGCCATTTTCGTAAGTTTCCCTAATTAATTCCAAATTAATGAACTAAATTTGAACAAAAGACCTTTCTCCCTAAATAAGTTCCGTTGTGTTCTTTCCTTCTTCATAGTCTTTATTATTAAAATTAGTTAAAACGACTATAGTTCGTAATAAAATTACACAAAAACCAAATACTTTAATTTTGGCTACTAAAGAGCTGAGGACAAATGTATTAATAAACTGGTAACCCAATATTTGTACCGACTTTTTTAAATTCAAAAGATAGTAAAACTTCAAACACTTATTTTAACTTTTCTTGTAATTCCTTGAATTGTTTACTTAAAATGGCTCTATCAACTCATATAAAGGATCAGCCGTGGTATTTACAAATAACTAAAGAAATAAATGAATTGCGCGATGTACTTGACGGTAAAAATGTCTACTTTGTTTACTATATTTAGGAAGTATATATGTATTTAAATGTAATTTTATTTTATTTCTAATTATTATTTTTGTCATTTCAGATAAGATTAATAAGCAACGAGAACAAATAAAGGCATGCAAAAAGAAAAATGAGCTAGACAGTAAATTTGCATTAGAGCTGAAATTAAATGTAAGTTCATTTTAAATTGAAGTCTGATTGACAAATTTCCGTATGTTTTATTAAAAACCAAACGAAAACTGTAGATAAATATAAAGTAATGCTTATGATGCAATATGTGACTTTTTACAAAGACTTTATTATGAAAAAACATGTAAACCTGACATGTAGTTTTCACCTTCCAGTCTGACCTGACACAACAGTTAGCTGAGTTGAACCGTCGCGGGACTGAGCTGGATAGAGTCTGTGGGAATTTAGAATCTCTTACTATTGCAGAAGGAGATAAAAACAGACTGGATAACGACAAGTGAGTTTGATTTAAAGTTTAAAGATTTTTCTCCATTTACATTGTTTAATTTGAACAACTAAAAGGTTTTTAATAGTTCTATTTTAAGTGCCATAGGGTTTATGTTGTATTGGTATAGAAAAGTAGGAGTTTTGATTTTTTTAAGCCTTTAGTTTTCTGTAAGCAGATAAAATAAGCATTTGAAATTGTTAATTAATATTTAAATTATTATTAAAAAGAAAGAAGATTTGTTTACATTGAATAGGCCATGAAACTATTGAACAGATTTGAAAAATTCTTCCACTGTTAGACAGCTACACTATGCAACAGATAAAATGTTATTCAATGTTTCAGAGAGACATTCCAAGTGGCTAAGGAACTGACGGGGATCAGATTTGATTTCTCAGCATCACCAAATGTTGCCAAAGGCTGTATCCTTTTTATAAATATTAATTTTACTAAGAGAGAACATTTCAACAAATTATTTATCTTATTTACAATAGCTGTTGTTCACATTCAGTATTTATATAAACTTGATAAGTAATCAATGTGTTTTTCCAGACTATGTTCTACATTTATGCCAAATTTCATCATGATAAGTTTAGAAGGAAGCCATTTGGCAGATTCTTACAAACATTTATCCATCCATTCAAACATTGACATTTGTATAAGTAAGATTACTAACATAAGTATATTTTAAAAATCAGTTTTACTGATGTTAACTTTCTTCTTCTTTGTAACTATCAGTGTCAAATGTTATGACAATTTAAGTTATAATATTATGTCAATAGATGGCGGACCGTATTACTAGATCGCGGTATTATTTGGTATATTTATTAACTTGCTGATTGCATTTCATTAAAATTTATTACTCATAAACGAGGTTCAGGCTAAGCGCCATCTGCGCTCGGCCACCTCAAGCCCGGTGAAGCTGTAAATGCCTCCTCAAGGCAAACAGTGATATAACCAGTATTTTATTGTGATTACTCGAGACAACTCCAGTGAGAAGGAGACTTTTTGAGACTGCTTTACAATTAGCTTTATGTCAATATTGCTATTTTTAGGGTTCCGTACCTCATAGGAAAAAACGGAACCCTCATATTTGTTGTCCGTCCGTCTGTCAAGAACCTTTTTTTTATTAAATATTTACTTATTTTAAACATTCCTTAACATATAAACAGATATAAAGAATGAATCTCGAAGACTTCTGCAGCCTTTTGAAATAGAAAATGGTGATAGTGAAGCTCTGTGGTCTCTGATACAGACCACATCAACACAGGACTGGCCAACAGACAAAGAGAACTTAGTGCCTAATAAATAAGAAAATAACAAAGTTTTTGACATTTACATACAGTGACATAAGTGATTTTATATACGGAAGTCGAAAAATGTGGACTACTAGCTTTTGTAAGCAATTTTTTCAGTAGAATTATAAAGAAAATTGGTGAAAGTATTTCATGTGTTACATGAGACTATGTTCTATATCTGTGCTAAATTTTAATAAGATGTGTTGAGCCATTGCGGAGTTATCTATTTAATATGTAAATCATATGTATCCCTCGGGAACTGGACACATTTCCGGAATCACAGGTATCCTATTTGTTCTCCCAGACTATGTTCTATATGTATGACAAATTTCATTGAGATCCAAAGAGAGAATGTATGGATAGAGAGTTGTATGAAAATTAATTGACATTTCAACTTGTAAAATGCAACTTTAATTCAAAAATCTCTACAAAAACATTGTCTGTCTCTATTATTTTAAAGAGAGTGAAAGGGATGACAATGTTTTATAGATTTTTTATCATAAATAAAAACCTAAATTATATTTTAAATAAATATTTCATAACTTGATTAGTTTAATTTTATTCATCAACTAGCTATCGCCCGCGACTCTGCCCGCGCGGAAAAAAAACATAGTAGTCTATGTGTTCTTCCAGACTATGTTCATTGAGGTCTGTTCAGCTGTTCTGGAGATAGCTTCAAACAAACATCCATACATTCGCATTTATAATATTAGTAATATTAATTTGGACATTTAAATAATGAAATAAATGTTAATTATAAATAAATTATATTTCTAAGCATTATAAAAAACGCTTTTAGCTTTCTTCTCTCTTTTCCTCTTCTCCATTTTTCTCTTCTGTCTCTCTGTGCTCTTCAGCAGTTGCATTATCTTTGCTTCTTTATCTTCTATGCTGTCTTCTATGCCCACATCAGTGCTGCCCTCTGTTGATGGTTTCACTTCTCCAATGTCCTCTATTTTTGTTTCCAATTTTGTATTTTCCGTTTCTATATCATTCTGATCCTTCTTTCGACGTTTCTCACTGTAAATGTATTTAAATATATAAAAAGATAATAAGTAATTTGAAGACATATTAAGATTTGGTGATAGTTGATATATATAAGAAAAATTTATTTATGAAGAAACTAGCTGACGCATGCGTCTCCGTCTACGCGGAATTAAAAAAAAATGAGTATCCTATGTGTTACAGACTATGTTCTATATGTATACCAAATTTTATCAAGATCCGTTCAGCTGTTCCGGAGATACTTTCAATCATACATCTAAACATTCGCATTTATAATATTAGTAAGTTTGGTTACTAATATTATAAAGCGGAAGAGTTTGTTTAAACGCGCTAATCTCAGGAACTTTTACATTTTGTTGGATAATCCATTTATAGAGGAAGACTTTAGGCTATATAACATTATGCTGCGACCAATATGTTTTTTCAAATTCCGCGCAGACAGAGTCGCGTGCAACAGCTAATGACTAATGGCTCTTTTTGTCATAATAAACAGTTACTCACCGCACTGGCACCATCTCATCGAACAATTCATCCAAATCATCGGAATCTTCCTCTTTGATTTCTTCCTGTTTCTCCTCAAACTGCGGTGGATTGAGCAATGGTGTTGAAGTTGCTGTTTGTATTAATACATTTGATGGTTTTGATGTTACATATAACTGTAAGAAATATATTAATTTAAAAAAAACATAACCGAGCCTCTTTTATATGAATCTGGGATCTCTGAAATAGTGAAGTAACCGTTGCCCATAGACATACAAGTGCATATGCGTTGCCTACCTTTAATCGACGGAGGAGAGGATGCACAGAAAGATAATATTTTCCCTTTCCATGCATCCTCTCATCCGGAAAATCCATTCGCACTTCCCATAATTTCCTTATAAGTAAAAGTGGAGTGTACAGAGAACTAAAATTAGGCATGAGGCATATCGCACTCCAGACAGGACAAAATCACATCTCAAACACCGAAATCGATATACTTGTTTGCAAGGAAGTCATAATGAAACTTATAGACAATTTATAGGCATATATAAATTACAGGTCGAATGCGATCAGATGGATGCGAGGAGTGCGATTTACAAAAAAAAATGTTTTTTCATCATCAAAATGGCGAAATTCAAATAGGCTCAAAATACAAAGTGTCATAGCCGGTCCATTTATAAATCAAATCAAATTTTTTAGCTATCCAAAGGGGACCTTGCCTAAAGGGACTCCTTTTAATAATATATTTTAGTAAATTATTTTATTTAATATCATAGATTTAAGACTATTCATTAGATTCAGTGCGTCGGTGGCTCAGTGATCAAGCAATTGACTTGCAATCTCCAGGTCCTGGGTTCAAATCCTGCCAAGTACCAATGTGTTTTTCAATTTCCAATTTACATATGTACATTTATCCGATCTTACGGTGATGGAAAACATCGTGATGCTGCACATATTTGAGAAGAAATTCAAAGATATGTGTGAAGTCAACCCGCACTTGGCCTGTAGTTGACTATGGCCTAATCAACCTTAACTTAGGGTAGGCTCCGAGCCCCTCGGTGTGGATGTATAGTGAGCTGATGATGATGATGATTAGATTCTTTGTTAGTTTATAATGTCAATAATATTAGAAGATAAAACATAAATATGTTACCTTGTACACCAACTCCTTGGTATCATAGCTATGAACCCGCAGATGTCTGTCCAAACTTGTAGTCACAACTAATCTCTGTTCTCGATTTATACCAATATCTGTAACTCCTCCAACACTACCTTTGTAGCCTTTATCTGGTTTGCCTCTGCGCAGATCCACTTGGTGAAGTTGACCTCTACCGAAACCTACTAAAACTTGCCTGTGAAAAAAAATAAGCTCCTTTAACTCCTGTAGGAAGCAGTAAATTAGTAATAGGCTTATAATAGACAAGGTGATAACTTATCATCAGGTCACTGAACATCCCCACTGAGGGTCTCGGAGCCTACCCTAAGTTAACTATAGTCAATACTGGCCCAGTACAGTGACTTCACACATATCTTTAAACTGTACAGATATGTGCAGCATCATGATGTTTACCTTCACCATAACGTCTGATAACTGTACATATGTAAATGTAAAAACACATTGTTGCATGGGATTCGAACCTAGGACCTACAGATCACCAATCACTTAACCACTGAACCTAGTATATAATTAGTAAAAAAGTTGCTGATACATAGCCTTAAATTAATGTATAGAAAGGATGTCCAGAATAAAGATATTTCCCCTGTACATCCCCTCCACTGATACATCCAAGTACCCTTCCTACCATATTCTTCTATCATCATGTTGTAGTCTGACAAAACCAGCAAAATGTTATAAGAACAAGTTTGAATTTGGGTATAACTAACCTGTCATCAAAGCTTGGTTGTAAGCAAGTAGCTGCCATTCCATTCTGGAAGTCTACGTTACACACCGGTCTTCTTTGTGCTCTTGTATCATATAATCTGGAATTACATTAAAATATTTATTATTAACTAGCTGTAGGCCGCGATTCCGTTCGCGTGGATATATAAAAGAGCTGAATTAGTGTAGCCTATGTGTTCTTTCAGACTATATTCTATATGTATGGCAAATTTAATCGAGATCCATTCAGCCGTTCTAGAGATATATTCAAAAACCCATCCATCCACATCACATCCATCTAAACATTCGCCTTTATAATATTAGTAAGTTAAATAAAAAGCAGCTCTTCAAGGCATAAATTCGAAAAAAATAAATAAATAGTATCCTATGTCCGTCTCCATGTTCTAAGCTACTGCTGGTATAAAATTCTCGTGTCACAATTTTCGTTCCCATACTCCTTCGTAACGGCTTGATCGATTCTTATGAAATTTTGTGAGCATATTGAGTAGGTCTGAGAATCGGCCAACATCTATTTTTCATCCTCCTAAATGTTAAGGGTAGTCCATCCCAAAATTTTAATCGGACGGAGTCGCGGGCAACAGCTAGTATTAGTACAATTATTAGAAACATTCTGTAATGGAGTGGTCATGATGCATAAAAAATGTTATGTCCTATGTCCTCATATAGCAGGGCATAACAACAACACTATTATTTTACCAAGTAAATATATAGTACTAACCTGACATAGCCATATCTGGAACAAATAGCTAATATATTTCCTCCCTGTCCCGGCATAAATGCTAGATCTGACACCCAGATAGGAACACGCAGTTGCAACCAGTCATTTGGTCTGTTCTTTGCAGAGAATACAGGTTCTGTCTCACCAAGACGCCATACTTTTAAGTCATTCTCTTGACCACCTAATAAGTAAAGTTCAAGGAAATTCATAAATGATAACATCTAATTCTTTACATAAAGGGAACTTATTCAATAAAGTTAAATGTGAGCAGTGGTGTCTCAGGGGTCAAGCACTTGACTTGCAATCTGCAAATACTGGGTTCGAATCCCGCCATGTACCAATGTGTTTCTCGATTTCTGATTTACATATGTACATTAGTGCGACATGCGACACTTTAATACATAATTAAGACAAAAACTTTTACCTGTAGCAAACAATGTTGTATCATCTTGAAATATTCTCATTTTGTCAATTTTCCCTCCGACTGAGATAACAGATTCATTTGTTTTTGCACAAATCTTCACAAAACCGCTGCTAACACCAGCAAGGAGTGTATTTTCATGTTGACCAACACCAACAATACTTTGGGTATCAACATCCATCCTGTATGATTTAGTAAATTTGCCTTGTTCTGTGTCATAATATTGAATTACACCATTTTTCTTTGCTAATATGATTTCTGTTTGATGTTCGTTACTCCATGACATTGCTGTGATGCCATCTTTTTTCTCCAATGATTTAATACTAACTAGATTTTCTAAACATTTCTTACTATTCTTTGATGACTCGGTGTAGTATTTGACATCTGAAATCAAGGATAAGGTTTAATTATTCCGTTTACGCACGTTACTCATTGTTCCTTCAAAGCGAGAGAAAGAAAAGAGCGCTATTTTGACTTTAATGTTTTTGTTACTTATTGTTATTGCAAACGATTACGTGTATTTAAAAATCTTAATTCATGAAAGCCGGCAAAATATAGAAACTCATATTCTCTTAGGTTGAATGTAATTATATATTATACTTACGTTTGAATGATCCGATATGGCTTGCGATGAATATATCAAATTGCTTGTCTTTCAACATTTTATAGCTTTTCACATTTAAAGAAATATTATAATTATAAAACAGTATAATTCAACACATGTGAATATTTATGTCAAAGATAAAATTGTCAATTTTTAATATTTGAAGTTGTCAGATTAGGAAAATGTTACCATTTAAAAACAGCGATGCTTTGCAACGGTTTGCTAAGATTATTTAAAACTTGGTGATAAAATGCCATTATGCTCTTAATGCAACGAAAATTGATAGAGTTTTAAGTGATCTTATTTCGCTTTTGTTAGAATATATTCAATGAGAATAACTGAATTGTTTTTACCAAAGAGTATATAAAACACCATTGTGGTATGTAAAACAATAAAAGCGTCATCTTTTGTTGAAAAGGAAAATTAGACCACAGTAAGTATTTTATATTTATCTATATAATGATTAATTAAAAATTAGAAGAACTGTTATGAAAATTCTTTAAAAAGAAATATGAAGTTAAAAAATAGACTTTCGAATTAAATCTGTAAAATTAAATCTTGTAAATAGACAAAAAGGTTTCATATACAAGCTGTTTACGATAATATTTGCTGTCATAACAACAGAAAACAAACAAAAAATAAACAAAACATCTTTGAAGTTTTTCAAATAATATAAAAATACAACTAAGTATTAAGTTTCTCCATAAAAATGTCGTCTTTAAGTGGATACGACACTGAAGCTGTCGGTTTTGATAGTGTTACTTCCGAGAAAAAGGCGGGAACTGAAATTTCAACTCAGACCAATGATTTTAAGGAGTACGGTGTTGGTTGCCAAACGGTTACTTCGAAAGACGTTGGCTGTTCCGCCGAACCCGAAGACTTGAACGCAGAGGACGATGTACTCAAGGAGTATCCACCACCAGGTCTAAATGCGTTCCTAAGAAAGGTAGTACCCAGCATGATGGAACAACTAGACCAGAATGAAAAAGATATGCCGTACAACTCGTCAGACTCTGACGAGGAAGAAGCTGTTACTGCCAAGATCCTTCAGGAGATAAACGTAGATGGACAAGGATTAGGCGCTGGTGATCACCACTCTTCTATCCTGGGGGTAACTTGGAGCAGCACCGGGAATACATTAGCTATCTCCATAGGTAAAAAGCAGCACGAGACCTGGTGCGAACAACAAGGTCAGATCAAAGTCTATACCATGAAGCACTTTGAAGGAAGTAAATTGACCCATGCTCTTGATATAATGGAGAAAAATTGCGTGACTGTGGTGAAATATCACCCCGCTGTGTCAGCACTACTGGCGTACGGCACAGCTTCTGGAGAAGTTGTGCTAAACAACTTAGTAAATATGAGTCTGAACTCTTTTAACGACCGCTTATCTTCACCGTCCGGTTGCCACGGGTCACGTCGCGTGTCGGCGCTACACTGGGCTGATGCTAGTCTTGCGAATACTTTCCTAACGATGCAAATAAATGGAAAAGGCAAACGTCGAGGAGCGGCCGATCAGGTGCTCATATCTTCTGGTTGCGATGGTGCCATCAACGTATGGCAAGTAAATGCCAACTTGAAGATATTTGAGAATGTCGTCTGCTATACTTTGAATGCAGGAAGGAAACCAGCGCCGGATATCACCTGTTTTGACTTTAACAGGAGATACTGTCTTCGGCGTTTCGATGAGAAATTGCCCGATGATATATTTGTCGTTGGATGTAAGTCTGGACAGCTGTATTTATGTAAGATCAAGGGCTGTGGAGACGGGGACGTAGACCCGGTGCACGAGGAGTTGGAGGGGCACGGGACCTGTGTGCTGGGAATCGAGTTCAGCTGCCACAAGCCGGTCTTCGTCTCAATGTCTATGGACTCGGAGTTGAGGGTCTATTCTGTTAACCAACCTTGTCCATTAAAGGTGAGAAATTAATTTTGTTCAATAACTTTTACTGATAACAAGAGATTTCAAAATTGTCTTCTGTTCTGTTATAAAAATACGGTCTTTCATTACGTTTAAAGGTGATTTTTCTATATTAAATCATCAGATCTTTTGCCTGGACGTGGCTATCAGCTGCATGGCGCTGCTGGGCACCAGCCCATGCGCGGTAGTGGGGCTGACAGCTGATGAGAAGGAGGCACTTAGGGTCTACAATGTATTCAGTGGGAAGCAAATCATAGTAGACGGCTTCTTAGGGCAAGCGGAGGTTACTTGTGTTGCTGTATCTCAGAGCGGGTGAGTGAAAATTTCTTTTAGAAATAATACCTTTACTTCTATCCAAAAATAAAAAGGCACAGCTTATTGATGTTAGTGACATTTGTAATCAAATGTTTATCCGTCCTATTGACATTGTTCATCAAATGAGCTTCCGTTCTATTGACATTTATTTTATTTTTTTATCAGGTGTTATAGGATCGTAGCTGGCAACATGGATAACACGCTACGCGTCTGGGAGTTTCCCGCGCTTCGCTTCAAACTGTCATCAGAAGATTATTACTTTTAATTTATCTTAAACTTAATGTGTACTCAGCAAGTTGTCCGTTTAGTTATTTTTTGTTACCGATAGAATATATTTTATGTTTATTATAGTAATTTTTATTTGATTTGAACCCCGCCATTAGACTATTGTATACTATATCCTAGTAAACCTTAGTTAGAATGGTGAAAGAAATATTTGTAAATTAATAAAAATCTGCTGACAGGAACTTGAATTGAAGTAACGTAAGATTTGATACACTATTTTTCAGACTTATCATGGATTAATCAGAATATTTTAGAAACCGATTAAAATCAACACGATTCTAAAATTATTCGTTCGCTTTATAAATACCGATTGCCTTTTTTTCATTGTTATCTTTAAATCAAAGAAACAAATATAATAATGACGTGGCATTAAAAATACCGAATGAATTTGGTCATGAAATGACATTGAAGCGACTTAAACACGTTAGGTTATAATTTATCTTGTTAGATAAGGACATTGTCCTTTTCAATCTTATGGGCGACTTAACCCTTTTACTAGTGGTGTGTTTATGTGTGCCAACATTTTTATGATGACCTTAAAACACGCTTTAAGTTATTTCAATAACTGCAAGAGGAAAATCCATGAACAGAATTTAACAGAGCTCATACTGGTGTCGGCAAGGATATTGCCACCATGTTGTTTTTATTCCACCAAATATGATTGTTTTTTTCTTTAATAAAAGTTATTAAAGTATCTATAATAAACAAAAAAAACGAGTTTTTATTTTTCCGAGACACAAGATTGCTTCTACTCGTTAAAGGGTTAAAGTAATTTACAACTTTTTGTTTTTTTTTAGAACAGAAAGGGGGCAAACGAGCAGCGGGAACATCAAGGTGTTCAACGACGCCCATGGACATCAGCAATACCAGAGGAACCGCAGATGCGTTGTCGGCCTTTGAGATGATAAGCTCGCGTCTTGAAGGACCCTAAGTCGTAGCGGTTTGGAAATACCGCCGAGGACAGACCATTCCTATGTAATGCTTGACTGGTACGATTTACTAAGCCGACATATTTGTAAAAACATATTGAGGTTATATTTATAGGTAGAGTATAAAATAAATGTTGAAATTGTTGTATTTTATTTATTATCTATTTAGGTCGCCGCGTTGGCTCGCTGGCAGTGGGCGGTGGTGGAGGTCCCTTCTTATGCAGCTCTTCTAGGTGCGCCATTATAGTTTGTAGCCGCTCGCCCGGCGCGTGCTCCAGTGCTGTATATCTTTTAACAAAGAATTCTAGATTAAAAAGTCTTCTTTCCTTTCCATTTTCTAATATGGGAAGGGAAAATAATTTTAGTTTTTTTTTTATATCAAAAGGTGGCAAACGAGCAATCGGCCACCCGAAATCGCTGAAATAGCGAAGTGACCGTTGACCCATAGACATACGTAATTGCATATGCGTTGCCTACCTTAAATCGACGGAGGAGAGGATGCACAGAAAGAAAAAAAAATCCCTTCCCATGCATCCTCTCATCCGGAAAGTCCACTTCCACTTCCCATCCTTTCCTTATAAGAAAAGAGGTGGGAAGGGAAAGAGGACTGAATAAGGCCTCCGGGACGCACACTCATCAGCGTGTAGTTGGAATAGCTTCCACTTGAGGCGTGTCTTGTGTATGGTTGTGGTATATCAGCGGACGAGTCGGGACAATTCCTGCGAACATGTTAAAGCTCGCTCTACCACTGTAGTGGGTCAATAATATTTAAAAATAATTTTATAGGTATAATTTAATTGTGTAGTTACTAAACATACCTTGTACATGAAAAAAAATTCTTTAATCCATTATACGGAGTAAAAAAAATGTCTTAACCTTTTAAATGCCACGAGCAACACTTAGCTGTAACCATATCGTGTTACGCTGCAATTTGTCACTTGACCACATGTTACCTGGTGTCATGCTGCAGGGTGTCAGTGATGGCATTAAGCGCTGCGGGACTCTCCTTGACAGCGACAAAGCTGCGGTGTGTGATAGCGCGACACTCCAGCAACAACTGTCGTAGTGCAGCCTTCGCGCTGCTCTGCTTGTCGCGCTGGTATTCACGGAACTCGCGCTCCATCTAATATAAATTGAAACAGAGGTCATGATTAACTGGTTTATAAAAAATCTTATTAATATTATAAATGTGAAAGTTTAGATGGATGGATGTTAGAAGGTATCACCAGAATCATGGATCTTGATGGAAGTCATATATGTAGAACATAGTCTGGAATAACATATAGTCTACTTATTAAGTTTTTCTTTAATTTCGCACGGTCAGAGTCGCGGGTGATAGGTAGTTTATAAATTATTTATGACAAAAAAGAGTTAAATTGCTTTTAAATCGCCCGAATGATGTTTAAAAACTGACTGATGACAGCTCACTTGACACAAGCGCCATCTACTTAAAGTTTTCAATATTTCTCCCCATTAAAGCATATATCAACCTTATTTCATCTTAATATATTTCAAACGGGGTCTTAGAAACCCACATTTCGCACCGCAAAACACAATCTCTTCTCTATCAGTTAAAAGTGTAGTTTGTATGTATGTATGTACCTGTGAAGCGCTGGCATAGACCGGTGCTGTGGGCTGCTGCTGGAGCTGGTCTTTCACCTCCCGCCAGCGCGCGGTGCTCGTCACCCCGAGCTCAGTCAGCAGCGCGCGCAGCTTGTCCCGCCTCTTGCTGGATAGCACGCTTATGTGCTGGGAGAATAGTCGCTCCTGTGAGGAATATCACATTCATTTATAAAAAAAAATCGCCGGTGGGGTGGAGGCAGTCAACATTAGCAAGCATTGTTACCCCTCCCAGTATTAGATTTTTTTTATAACATAAGGTGGCAAACGAGCGAGCGGCCAACTGAAATCACTGAAATAGCGAAGTGACCGTTGCCCATTGACATACGCAATTGCATAAGCGTTGCCTAACTTTAATCGACGGAGGAGAGGATGCACAGAAAGAAAACATTTTTCCTTTCCATGAATCCTCTCATCCGGACAGTTCACTTCCACTTTCCATCCTTTCCTTATAATAAAGAGGTGGGAAGGGGAAGAGGACTAAATTAGTCCTCCGGGACGCACACTCATCATCGTGTAGTTGGTATTACTTCCACTTGAGGCGTGTCTTCTGTATGCTCGTGGTATATCACCGGACGAGTCGGGACAATTCCTGCGAACATGTTATTATAAAGATCGTAGTGTAAATTACCTTATCCTCTTTGGAGAGTAACTCAGCTAGTTTGTAGCGATGATCTTTTTTAAGCTGTTTCTTTGCTTCCCGCCATGTCAGGTCCGGGTTCCGCACCAAATCCGCTAATAGTGCGTTGAAGTGCTGCAAGTGAATAACACACTTAATACTAAGGGAATAAGATCTATTTTACTATACCTAACTTTCTCTTTTATTATACATTCTAGAACATTTCGACAATTCGTAAAGGTGGTGCCTAACTGTAGGTTTCTGAGACTAAAATCTTCGCTTAAAACTTATTATATCTGTTTTATCAAAGATAATTTACAGGTATGACGATATTTTATAGAGATTTTGATCTCCAACATAACCGAAAATGGGGCTGTACAAAAAATTACAGCAAACGAAGTCACTTAAACGGGTATTTTGGTGTCAGAAACCTACGATTAATTATTTATCATTTATTTATTACGTGAAAAATTGAAGAAAATCAGCCTTATTTTGGATTAACTTAAGGTACGCTATATTGACTCGTAATACAAAAAACGAAACTAAGTTTTATACAAAACATAGCAAATTATACATCTACCCTACAATATACAATATTATCGACGTTTTACAATTTACCTAGTTAAATTACAAACTCACTTGTACAGCCTCATCTCGCTTGTGATATTCCCGCTCTTTATCTCTATCTCGCAGGCTGGTGGCGAGGGCGCGCTGCACCTCCTTCTCCCGCTCCTTGATAGAAGCCTGCGCGCGCATCTGTCTGTCCCGCTCGCGCGCCGCCGCCGCCTCGCTGCTCTCCTCCACCTCCGTCTCGCCCTCCGCCTCCACCTCACCCTCCACCTCCCCATCACCGGCTGTTTCCTCCGCCTCCGTGCGGGACGTGTCGCCTTCCTCCTAAATGATTACACAGCGTCATACATACAAAGTGTGATGTTTTATATACAAAAAAAAATGTTTAAAGAGAACGGAAAAACAAGAGCCATCACAGCTACAGACAAAAGAACGAAACAGACTTTTTTTTATATATTTTACAGATATTTGTAAGTAAACTGACAGTCATCCTTAACTTAGGGTAGGGTCCGAGCCCCTCGGTGGGGACGTATAGTGAGCTGATGATGATGAAACTGACAGTTGTCAATGTCACACACTTAAAACCTTTTTATTGTTTAATTATATAATATTTATATTTTATCCGACAAGATTTCCTTTTTGTACCAAGTCTTTGGGAGGTAATTTTCGGTTCATACAAGGACAGAGACGGAGCGTCAATTCAAAATATAACATAACAAAATTCAACCTTAAAGTCTACATCGTAACGCGCAAATCACTTAAGAGATTTTAAAATGACGCACAAATCATCAGCTCACTATACGTCCCCACTAAGGGGTTCGGAGCCTACCCTAAGTTATGGGTGACTAGGCCATAGTCAACCACACTGGCCAAGTGCGTGAATTCACACATATCTTTCAATTTCTACTCAGATATGTGCAGCATCACGATGTTTTCCTTCATCATAACGTCGGATAAATGTACATATGTAAATCGGAAATGGAAAAACACAT